ACCAATGTATTTTTTAAAAAAGACATACAAACAAAATTTACACAGCCTCTATAATGTACCAGGCCCACTCTTTCCCTTCCAAAGAGAAATCTTAGGAGGGAGAGAGATAAAAGGAAAAAGGGAAGTAGAGAGGTTAGGGTCAAGACAAAGAGAGAAACACTGCAAATGTCTAGCTTGCTCTCCTGTGAGCACACAATAGCCCTGGGTGCCTGGGAGAAGGGTGCCCGGAGGATCAGATGCCCACCAGTTGGCAGTGCACACAGACAGCCTCTGTCCCAACTCAGTTTTCCATATCACCAACGCAGGAATCTTCAACGGCTCTTTTTTTAAATCAGGAGACTATTTCTTCAAAACTATTATACAGAAGTTCAATATAAATCTGGCTACATAAAACCAAGGAGGCAAAGGAAGCCTCCTGTGCTCACAATGCCCCTCCCCTGGCCAGCTCCCCAGGATGGGCATCTGAAAATAATAGGGTTCCAGGAGGTGGACCAGTCCTAATTTAGATGCAATCATCTCGCTTTGAGGAAAACTCTGGCTCATACTTCTGCTTCAGCTTTTATACCTGTAAAACAGAGCTTAGAGTACATGTACTGCTGACTAAAAAACAGTAAGAAAAACTTAGAAGTAAAGTGTTAGCAGCAAATTGCTATAATAACTAGGAAGCATTTAGGAAATACAAATAAAAACTTTGAGATTGGATCAAAGTCATGCTTAGTTTGCTATTACAGGGTCTTAGAGAAGTATAATAAGTGTTTCTACTGCTATAGCATTCCTCTGGAAACAAAGCCAAGAGGGCTTGTTTGCTTTAAATCACTGGTTAGGATAACTTCCTTTTACTGTATTCAAAATATACAACGAGTAAAGGCACAGATACAGGAATGATATAAACAATTAAGAACACCTTTTAAAAAGTAATCCGAAGGCAGCTGGGCGTGGTGGTGCACACCTGTATTCCCAGCATGTGGCAGGCTGAGGCAGGAAGATCTGCCAAGAGTTCAAGGCAAACCTGGGTTACATAGTGAGTTCAAGGCCAGCCTAAACTATATATATAACTATATTGTAAGGTTCAATGGTGATCTTAGGGAAAATATGATTTGGTTCTTGTCTAGCTCGGTTTGCAACCAGAATCATGGAGAGAATTGAGTTCATAAACTGATGTACATAAATATACAGAGTCTTCAAAAAAATGTATCTATACTTCAGGAAGAAAAAAATAGCATGATGTTTTCTCAACAGATGTTGTCTAACCCTTCTATGGTAACAACATCATAGAAGATGTTGTACATTGCTGAAAAACCAGTGTACTGCCAGCCATTAGAGAAGAAACTGAAAACACATGTGCAGCAATTCAGCACACTAATAAATGTCTGGAAGCTAATGGCCACCACTTTGATTGTTTTTTGCTTTTTGAGACAGGGTCTCACTATGTAGTTGAGACTGACCTGGAAATATGGAGTCCAGGCTGGTCTCAAACTCACAGCGATCCTCCTGCCTCAGCCTTCCAAGTGCTGGGATTACAGGTGTGAGCCTGGCTGGCCACCACTTTGAGCACCTCTTGTAATTGTAGAGGCCAAAGTAACTTGTATTAATCTCATGATGTCCCAATAAATTTAGTATTAAAATATTTATACAAGTTGAAGTGTGTATACATTTTTTCTCTCTCTATATATATAAATGTGTGTGTGTATGTATATATAGTTATATTGATTATAGAATATGAAGATACTGCTTTGTTAATTGAATTAAAGTGTTCAGCTCTTTCTCTTCCATTTATTTATTTATAAGTTTATTATAAATAAATAAATAATTTGAATCTCACTTGGTTGGCCTCAAATTCCTGGACTTACAAGATTTTTCCAAATCAGCCTTTTAAATACCTGGGGCTACTGGGGCTACAGGCACATACTACCATTTATATATTTGAAATTCCAAAAAGACTTTTTTTGGTACTGGGGATCGAACTCGGGACCTTCCACTTGCAAAGCAGGTGGTGATACCACTGAGCTAAATCCCCGACGCAAAAAAGACTTTTATTAATGTTATTCATAATTTGATTACTTTTAAAGTTTTCTTTCATATATTTATATTTAGTTATTTCTTGCAAATATTTTCTATTACTCTGCGGATTGTACCTTTGCTCCATTGTTTTCTTCGCTGTACAGAAGTTTGTAGTTGGGTGCGGTCTCATTTATCTAATTTTCTCTTGTTTTCTGTACCTGTAGTTGTTCAGATCAATGTTGCAGAGCTTTTCCCCTGCTTTCTTCTAGTAGTTTTACTGTCTTAATACACTGGTTTTATTGTATAACAATTATATTTAAAATTTTTGATGTAAGAATAAAAATGTTTTTTAATGGCTTGTTTTGTTTTTGTGACAGGGTCTCATTATGTAGTTTAGGTTGATCCTAAACTCATTATGGAGGACAGGCTGGTCTTTACGTCGCAGTGGTCGTCCTGCCTCAGCCTCTCTTGAATCCTAGATTACAGGCATGTGCCACCCCACCCAGTTATAGGGTTTGATCCCTAGCAACCCCTTCCCAAATTTTTAGTAATTAAAAGTCAACCTTCCATGTGTTTCTCATCTCAATTCACAAGAGAATAAGGAAATGTGAAATAAAAAAAGATTGGTAGAAAATATGCCAAAATACTAATAATAGCTTTATTCCTAAGTACTAAAACTAAGAACAATTTTATTTTGTTTGTAATAATTCTGTTTTCTGCTCCCAAAGTGATCAGGTCTCACTTCTGTAATGATAATAAAACAATAAAAATGATTTTTAAGCTAGATGAAAATACCATCATCTTTAAAATTCCCAGCACAAGGGCCGGGGATTTAGCTCAGTGGTTCTGGCACCTGCCTCGCAAGTGAAAAGTCCAGAGTTCGATCCCCGGAACCAACAAAATAAATAAATAAAATAAAATTCCCAGCAGAATATCAAATTACACACTATCCATCTAACTCTCAAACATGGTAGAATAACTCTCAAATGTGACAGAAGCCCCTAACTATCTCTGGGTCCCTAGTCCCCCTAACACTAAGATATTTCGCATCTTGTCATTGGTTACAGTATCATAATCCCTGCTCCAAATCCAGTACAGAGAACACAAAATACAATCTTCATGGAGTTAGACAAAGCATTTCTAAATAATCTGGCACAACTGTGTCTTTCCATATTTATCTACCAATAGGCTCTTACCAAATCCTCAGCTCTAGTAGAAAAAACCCAGGCCTGAGAATTATAGACCTTGAAGAATACTTAATCTCTCAGCATTGGTTCCTCTAATGGAGAGAAGCTGTGAAGATTAAATCTTTAAACAAGTAAATAAGTACAGTACCAGCATACAAATCCTCAACAAGTGGTGCTTCTCAACCAGGCAAGAGTGTGGGCGCCTGCAAACCCTACACTTGGGAGGCCAGCAAGTTCGAGGCCAGCCTGCACTACATAAGTTGCAAAGCAAAACAAACAAATCCAAGACAAAAAATAAAGAGTTTCTCATTAGCAAATGAGATTTTCTTCATTGGCGCCTCAGACAGCTTTGTACTTTTACATAGACGCTTCACATGTTGCTATTTTGTTCCTTTTGAAATTTCTTCCCTATCGTCTTTTTCCTTTTTTCCTTTTTTTTTTTTTTTTTTTTTTGTACCGGGGATCAAACTCAGGTCTTTGTGCTTGTGAGGCAGGCACCCGAACCACTGACCTCAATCCCTGGCCCTCTTCCCCATCGTCTCAAAGCCTGTTAAAATTCAAAGTCTAGCTGAAGTCCTCTCCTCTAAGAAGCATGCGCTGACTCTGTCAAGCCAACATGGCCTCTCACCCTCTCAACTTCTACAGCGCCTGGTGTTTATTCTACCAAGCAGTGGTGTCTTAGTTCCTATTACATGTATGTAAGTCCTAGATTCCCAAGTAGAGTGCTAATTTCTTGTTTTATTTTGGTTTTTTGAGACAGGGTCTCACTATGTAGTTGAGACTGACCTGGAACTCACTATGTAGCCCAGGCTGGTCTCAAACTTGCAGTGATCCTCCTGCCTCAGCCTCCCAAGTGCTGGGATTACAGGCATGCGCCACCATGCCTGGTGAGTGCCAATTTCTTGTAGCAGCCACTCTATATTACATCAACCTGTACACCTTTCTCTGCTGTCTGACACTTCACCAGGCATATACTATGTTTTCACAAAAATGTGCTAATCCAATTTATGGATTTAGATGAAAGTCATTAGAATAAAAATACTGGCTGGATTATTTTTATAGTGGATTTGGAAGCTAATGATTCTGTATAAACAGCAAGTTTCAAGTAAGCACATAATTTCATACCTCTAACAAGCCATACTTTGGCGATAGTCTCTCTCTAGTCCAAAATAAATGTATTAAATATTAGCAAGAGATGACCCTAAGTGAGCTACGGTTTTTATCATTTAAAAGCCTCTTACATGTAAGTCCTAATTAAACATATATTGAACTAAATTGCTTTATTTGATCTCACTTGGAAATATACTTGCTTCGCTAAAATATCAAGATAATTAAAGTGAGAAATACTCAGTTACCTATTCCTAGAAAGTGGTAATTATATATAAGAAATTCTCAAATGCAAACTGCATCTCAAGCGAGAGCTAAAAGTTTAGTGAAGACAGCTTGAAGGCATAAGTTTGCTTTTATTTTCACTGATTTAATTACATTTCCTCATAAAGCCATTAGGAAAATGGGATAACCACATAAAGACCAGTCTTTGCTTTTTGATAAATTACTACTAATCAGCCCTAGGAAATAACTACTCCAATGCGCTGTTACTAATATTCTAATGAGAATAAAGCAACATGAGCGGCAGAGAAAGCTGCCTTATTAAACCCAGTTAATCACTTGGAAATGAAGTCTCAACGGAAAGAAAGAGAGACCTAAAGCACAGCTAAACCCCAGCAAGACAGACTCAGCAAGATAAATCGGGAATCTCTTCCTAGCTGCCTGAGCCTTCGGTAATCCGGGGACGGAAAGAAGCGCCGTTACCTAAGGATGTTGGGGTGCGAGAGTCTGTTCATGAGCTGCACTTCTTTCAACATGTTCGCCCGGTTACTGCTCAATGTGTTCATCTTAAGAGCCATCACCTGACCAGAAGCTCGATGGCGCACCTAGAAAATTAGAGTGAGAAAACAGGGTCAAGGGGAGCAGCTCAAAGTCAGAAGTCTCCACACATAGAACTTGCCAAGGTAAGTAAGTGCCAATTTGGGGGGGAGTACTGGGGATCGAACTCTGGACCTTGCACTTGTGAGGCAGTCGGCGGAACCACTGAGTTCAACCCCCAAGCCCCTGTTAGTGCCAATTTTAAAAATTTTTTATTAGTAAACATTTGCTGGGGAAAAAAAATTTTGTGATACATAATGATACACTCATTGTAGTAGTACCATTTTAGATAAAATAAGTACTTACATTAGAGTCTTGCGTTCATTAATGAATGTATTGCATTCCAGGCCAAAATTATTCTACATTGAGCTGGCTAGAAAAATATTAATACCTTAAGAAATTATATCTTTCTTTTGCAGGGCAAGGGTATTTAGTCACATAATTTTGTTTCAGACATTTCTTTCTACACAAGACTGAATTTAAAAGTCTCTAAACCAGGCATGGTGGTGCACATCTGTAATCCCAGCACTCAGGGAGGCTGAGGCAGGAGGACCTCTGTGAGTTTGAAATCAGCCTGGGCTATGTAGTGAGTTCCAGGTCAGTCTCAACAACATAGTGAGGCCCTGTCTCCAAAAACCAATAAATAAATAAGCCTTTTTAGCCTAATTTCTGATGGCTGCCATTGATGAGTCAGGACACAAACAGGAAAAAGTCCCTTGGCAGAATTTTCAGAGTACACAAAATGACACGCTGATATATAATATATAATAGTTAATGAACTATAAAACTATCTTCATAAGACACTAAATTCACATACGTATAGCCTCCCCCAAGCACCATAAAAATGAACCCATAAGAAAAAAGCAGAGGCTGGAGGTGCGGCTCCGTGGTAGTTGCACTGGCCAGGCAGGGACAAGGCCCTGGGTCTGATCTCCAACACCGAGAAGGGAGGTAGAGTGGCACTTCATGGTAAACACAGAAAGAAGGCAGTGAACTATTTAGAGCTAATACTGCAGTAATCCAACCCCAAACACCTTATAATCATTTAAACACACTCCAGTTCGATACAACCAACATGGGCCACACGAGTACCCTTATATACAAAGCAGTCTATTTTTAGAAGCTATTCACCCTTTACAGAAGTCAATCCACTTTATATGTGTAAACATTATTTTCTCATTTCAAAGCACACTTTACAGGTTTTGAAAACTATAAGGCAGCTGAGTATGGTGGCGAACGCCTGTAATATCACTACTTAGGAGGCTGAGGTAGAAGAATCGTGTTTGGGGCCAACCTGGGCCACATAGGAAGACCCTACCTCAGAAAACAAAAAGCAAAACAAGCAAACAAACAAACAAACAAAAAAAAACACCATAACACTTTATTTGAAAATTGACTATTTTCACCCAAACAGTGTCAGTACTAGCAAAATGCGACTGCCAGAAAAAAGACTTTTTCTTACCCAAAAGAAGCTCAGTTATTCACTGACATGTGAGTTTCATGCTGAAGAATTAAGAATGAGGCACCAGAAAAGTCACAAAAGTCTCAAAAGACCTCACTTCTTTCCGGCTTTAAAACAAATCACTTTAGATCTTACACAACAGGGACTTGCTATGCAAAATGCTATCATTCTATGGACTTCAGTACCTTATACTTCACCAGCTAAAAGCTCCAGTAGAAAATATGACAGGCTACTTAACTTTTCAGCCCCCAGTAACTCCTTGTAATAACAGTAGTCCCTTAGAAGTTTAAGGTAACTCCTAAGGCAGGACAGACCTCACTGCCGATCTACAATGTTTCCGAGGGGCCACACCTGAACAGCCCTGAACAGAAAACCCCAGGCAGGAGCTGTGGTAGGGCACTCGCCCAGCACATGTGAGGCCATGGGTTTGATGTCCCCCACCATACCGAAAAAGAAAAGAAAAGAAAAGAAAAGAAAAACTGAGGCGGAGCCCTGACAGCTTCTCCTGGATCACTCGGTGAGACCTGGCACTTAACTCACAGTGCATCAATGACCCTGTTGTCAGGGCCCTCGTGATTGACCAGAGAAGCAGCTTTCCTTTCCAGATCCTGCATGGATAAGTTAAAAGAAACACTGAGAATGCTGAACTCACTGATGGTATTTTTCCAACTCTACTTACGCAAGATATCTGAGTTTGAAGGGCTCTCCATCTGAAAGTCACTCTTTCCCCCACCGTCTAAAACAAAAATGTTCACTCTTAATTAATTAAAAGTGTGTAAAATTCAAGGATAACCAATCTGAATTTCAAACCAATCAGAAAAAAGTCCATTTCCTCAAAGAGATAAATTGTTGAATATGTTTATAACTCATTCGATTTTGTCTTCCATCTCCATAAAATGTTTTTTCTTTCCCTCTCTCCAACCCCACACCTACCATCCCCTGCTAAATTCTACTTATCTTTCAAGGCTACACCCAAATATCCTGAAGCCTTCCTTGGCTTTCTCTAGAGATTATCTGCACTTCCTTTCTCCGGACCTCGCATTCGCCAGGCAGGCGAGGCGCCACTGAGCTAAATCCCTGGCCTGTTTTCTTTCTTCATACTATTACCTCAGAACTACATTCCTAACACTCATCATATAGCTATGCACAAAAATATCTCTTCACTGGGCTAAAAAGCACCTGGAGACCAGGATGTCTCCATCCTGTACCCGTCTTTCCCTTGCAATGCCCTCCCTTGTAATGCCTGACATATCTTGCCCGCACTGGCATTGTAAAAATAATGGCAACAACAGTTACTTAGTACTTCTAATATACTTTTGACACAAGAGGAACTCATTTATCCGTATGTTTTCTTGAGGGGGAAGATACCTTTCTTTTTCTGTATTTGGTAGCAAAGGAAAGGGGATGGATACTGAGCAAAAAAATTCTAAAAGATCTATGTTTATAACAGCATTATTCCCAAGAGCCAAAAGGTAGAAGCAACTCAAGTGGCCACTGACGGATGCATAAAGAAAACCTTGGTACAACATGATATTATGTACCCTTTAAAAGGCAGGAAATTTGACACATGAATGAACTTTACAAACATTATGCTGAGTGAAAAAAGCTACAGAAAGACTATATATGTCACATATGTGGAATGGTGGTTACCAAAGAATGGGAAAAGGAATGGGGAGCTGTTTTATGACTACAGTTTAGTTTTCCATATGAAAATAGCCTGGAGGTTACTCACAACAATGTGGCTGTACTTAACTCCACTGAACTGTGCACTTAAAAACTGTTAAGATGGTAAATTTTATGTTATGTATATTTTAACACAGTTAAAAATAAATAAATGTAACAAAACCACCTTGGCTAGGATGTAAGTCACGGTGGAGCTTGCCCAGCCTGCATGATGGCTTGGGTTGAGGGCAGGGGAGAAAGAGGGGAGGTAAGAAGAGACAGAGAAAAAGAAAGTGAGAGGGCCAGAGTGAGAGGGAGGAAGGGAGGGGAAGAAAATGATCAGTAAGGTAGGAAAATGAGTCCTTAACTGTTTTTTGTGTTTTTATTTTTGCTTGGTTTTGCTTTCTTACTGGTGGGTGTCTGGGATTGACGCCAGGGCCTCTTGTGTCCTAATCACACACTTTCCCCACTGAGCATCATCTCCAGCCTTCTTTGACCTTTAAACCCATCTGATACCACCACAGCATCTCCAAACCCAGGCTCTAAAGCAGAGCACAGCTTGATACCAAGGTCAAGGTTGAGTGGTGGACGAGGCACCAGGAATAGCTGACCTGAGAAGTGTACTCTGATCTGAAATGTTCTCATTGTGAATCAATAAGGGTAGACTAGAAGTAGAATTCTTCAATAAGATCTTTCCTAGAAGTTGAATGTACTTGTAATATTAGTGGCTTGGGGATGGAGACACTGTTGAGACCTGCCGGTTTTGTCCCTCAAGTGTCAAAGAAGACAGTTTGATAACCACTGGAATAGACTATCCCGAATTTTATTTATTTATTATTTATTTATTTATTTAGACAGGGTCTCACTGTGTAGAGAGTGACTGTAGCCCAGGCTGGTCTCAAGCGATCCTCCTGACTCAGCCTCCAAGTGCTGGGTTTACAGGTGTGCGTTACATGCCCGGCCAGACTATCCCTAATTGTAAAATACTGAAAGCTGGGCAAGTGGTGCACTCTTGTGATCCCAGCACTCAGGAGGCAGAGGCAGGAGGATCACCCCAAGTTCGAAGCCAGCTTAGGCTACATGTTGAGTGCAAGGCCAGCCTATACTACATAGTGAGACCTGTCTCAAAACAGTAAATACTGAGAATCTGTGAATTTCATATTTTAAGATTCACTTTTTTTGAAAGTTTGAGATTCTACTGACATTCAAAAATATATTTTATATCAATTCCCTTCTTTGAGATTTCTTTTGTTGTTGTCGTTGTTTGTTTGTTTTTTCTGGTACAGGGGATCGAACTTGGGACCTTACACTTACAAGGCAGGAGGCAGAACCACTGAGCTAAATCCCCGGCTCAGATATTATTTTTCATGTCAACAGCTAGTATGTGAACAAAAGAATATTTTCCATACCCTGAACTTGTAGGGTGAATTAGCTCTGAAGCTCTCTCTTCAAACCAATGGACAAACCATTATTGTGTTTGTCCTACATTTCATTCTGATGGAGAATGATGAACACCATTGCACCAAACAAACCTGAGGGATTAGGCAATGTCTTGATTAAATAATTTAAGTGAGAGGCAGAGAGAAAGGGAGAAAGAGAAAGAGGGGGGTGTAAAGAGCTCTAAATTTGGGGCTAAGAAGACTGGATCCTACTTTACACTTAGAGTGAGCTCAATCTGAAGTCTTCTTGTATAAAATGAAGGTAATAGTTCAGTTTCTATCTCATAGAACTACTGTTATAAAATTAGAAAAATGCAACAATACAAAGTACTTAACACGGTGCCTGGTATATAGTACACATTCAACAAATAGGTATTATTTTAATAAAAATAAGAAATTATAAGTGCATAAAAATTTAGCATATCAGATGAAATTAATATGATAC